GTATTGCTTAATGCAATATTAGCACTGCCGCCTACTTGGCTAGCCATCTGCCTATTTTCCTGGACAACCTCATTCGCAACACAATCACTGGCGCTTGCATCAGGAATTTCAGGTTCATTTGCATCCAAGTTCACAGCAAGAGAACCTCGAGTGGTCCTCAACCAATCTGCGGCCTCAGAAGTCACCAATCTACACTTCTTAACCTTCACTTTTACCAAATTTGGACATCCGCTAGCCAGCGCTTCCATACCTTGGTCGGATACAGGGCAACTTTTTATACATAGCTTTCTCAATGCAGTACACTTTGCGGCTATGCACCAAAGCTCAGGATCCCCAACAGTCTCACTCCCACATAGAGCTAATCTCTCTAAGTTGAGACAATTTGCAGCCAATTTCTCCAAACTAGCACGTGTTGGATTCACACCAATCAAAACCAATTCTTGCAAATTGGGACAATGTTTAGCAACAGAAATTAACCCTTCATCACTTATCCGGTTAGTCTTCCATCCATCAATATGGAGCTTCCGGAGAAGCGTACAATGTTCAGCAACAGCCACTAAGCCGAAATTAGTGCATTCTGGCGTTTTAACAAGGTGCAAAATTTCGAGATTCGAACATTTAGAGAGAGCAGCAAGTCCAATGTCACTAACCTGAAGCCTCTCAAGATGAACTTCAACCACTTCACTTACCTGATCAGCTATCACTTCCAGAAGCCTATCCCAATCTCCAGAGCATCGGAAGAGCTTCAACGTCTGCAAATTCTTCGATCCTATAATCAACGGTCCAAAGCACTGTCCATTATAGAGCTCCTTCAAGCATAAAACTCTGAGAGACGCTGCGGCAACACCAGGACCGATTGGCTCTGCCGCTGCGCCATCTGTAATGCCACGGAGCCGTTTCACTGATAATTCTTCAAGGGAGGAGCAGTTATCCAACACGGCATTCATGCCTTTGGCACCGAAGGAACACGATCCACAAGAAAGCTTTTTCAAACCCTTGCAATTCTTCGCAAAAGCTTCAATTCCGGCGTCAGTAATCTCCCGGCATGTTCGAAGCTTCAAACGTGTGAGGTTACGGCACCGCTGGGAGATGAGGACCAATACATCGTCTCCAATACTCGTAGATCTACGGTCGCATTTCAAAGCGAGCTTCGTAACCGAATCAAACCTAGAGAAAATGGACGGAATCACAGAAGCAAGGTCCGATTGCGCGTTAAGCGATAAACGGTGACGGCTTTGACCTTCGATTCTGAACCAACGGTGGCAGACGAGGGAGCAGCGTTTACGGTCACCGGAGCTAAGAGACTGGAAGATAGAAGCCACGCACTCATCCGGAATATTAGATGAATAATCAAACTCTCCAACCTCGAAGACGTCGATAACATCATCAGAATCCTCACTTTCCTTCATCGGCGAGATAACGCCGGTAGATCTAGATTTTGACCTTGAATGATGGATGTGATTTTGAACTGCAGTAGTGGTGGAAGCTGATTGGCCCATCCACAGCGGTCGGAGGAGAAAAATCAGGGAGCAAAATAAGTATTTCTCGTGTGGTTCCACTCTACCGTCTCTTTTGTCGGCGCTTTACCCGGTGAACTCGCGATTGCTCGGAGGCGGCGGTGGAACGGCGGATATGAAAATGAAATTAATTTGAAGGTATTGTTTGGATGGTAGTTTAGCTTTAAATTATGTTATACGAAATTGTTGTTATTTGCTGTTATCTACTTTCAGGGGAGAGGGAGAGGGAGGATAGCAATTGAATGAGAGCAACCCTAGTGTACTTTCCGTGTGGACTACGTGTAAATTTGCTTCGTTTTGTCAAGGGCTATTTGTTCCAGTTAGTAGCGTGTTTTTTAAGAAATGTGGGAAGAAGTGAATCACGTGGAGGACCATAATAAGTAAGGGAAGTTGAAGGAGCAGGGAATCAGTGTCAATTTTTTTCCACGGGGAAAAGCAGGTGTCACATGGATTACGTGTGTCCCTACAATTGGCTGAACCTGTATCCTTCCGCATTGAATCGCTCTAAATCTCCTCTCTTTTTTTTTATCTTTCCCTTCTTTTTTTTTGCGATCATTCAAAATGTAAAAAAGCACAATGCCGTTCGGTTTACCCTCAAAATTGAATAACAATTAAATTTGTAAGTAATTTTAAAGATACGCGAATTAATTCGATACAAACGATGAATTGCGATAGATTAGACAGATAAAGATGTAGTAAATTCAAACCACGTGAGGAGAATGATTCCAGCCTTAGTAAAATTTTCACCCTCAATCCGGACTCACAATGGCTATCACTGATGAACAAGAATAAGAGCTTTCGATAACAGAGAAAATAACAATATATTGCTTTGGTATGTGTATTACAATGTGTTTAATGTATTATCACACCCTCCTTTATATATTAGGAGAATCCTACTTTAGGTACAATTCTATAAAAGGTAAAAAAATCTTTTGTTTAACTAATCACCGGTTCTTCACAGATACGTACCGAGATCCACGCCGTGATATCCGGCTGGTCACGGATATTACGGCCTTCTGTTGGTCGTGCTTGGTTGCCCGACCACGTTCTCCGAAGTCTTTTGGGATTTAGACCGATCCTGGACTATGGCCCCGATATTCTCGAAGGTGGGTGTCATGGCCCCGGGCTCTGACTCGATGAGGCCCCTTGTCTCGATTTCGGTCCCTCGTCATCATGTCTATAGCTCGGTTTATCATATCAGAAGCCGGGATGTATCGTGAGCTCGATTTTACCCGTATACAGATAGTCTCCTCGTTTATCGAAGAGTAAGTTGACGAGAAACGACATGAGCTCTCTAATTCCTTCTTCAATACGCCGTGACAGAAATGATAAAAAGCCTGAAACGTCTCGTCAGTCATGTCATAATGACCTCAAATGCATGTCATCCATCGGTTGGTTGTCCCTGGACGCGAAACGTCGCGGAACCCCTATAAATATCCCCTTCTTCGTTCATTTTTTTACTTTACGTCCAAACTTCTACCCTCGTACCCTCAGGATTTCATTACCCTTTTTTATACTCTAGCATTTTTACCTCCGTTACTCAAGATTCCTCAATACGTTGCAAGAAATGTTTACCCATGCTCTACTCAAGCCAACGCATCTGAGCTTTCAACCTCTAACCTTTCTCTATCTTTTTCAAGTTTTTCCAGATAACAATGGCCAAAACCTCCAAATCTGTTCCCCAAAAAGATGCTCCTTCTTCTTTGCGGCCGACCACTGAGGTTGAGGAGACCGCCCCTGATGTGGTCGTCCTCGAGAAGTCCGCTCTGAGGCCGGCCACTGATGAACCGGCACCCGAGCCCCCTTGAAAATGTTCGTCCCCGGGGGATGTTCGGTCAATGATGACTTCAAGGTTGAAAAGCCTTCTTCTGTTCAAGACCGATGCGAGGCGGTGTCTCGGTAAATCTTCTCCATCACTGAGGTCGTTCTCCCTATGGTTCGAAAGGACTACAGCTGGACGGATAAGGATGTAGCGATCTCTGGGCCCGGCGACGACATTACTACCCATGTGGAGGGAGTGTTTATACTTATCCTTTTACATTTGACCCGGTGGACCCGGTCATCTTGGACTTCCGCAGGAGGTATGATGTATGCCTCGGCCAAATTCATGCATCGTTGTGGAGGATCGTGATCCTCCTCTGATTTTTTGTGAAAAAAATCAACTCGTACACGTTCACCATCGATCATCTACTACGCTTGTACCATCTCCGGGTCTTCCGGGCGGGACTAATAAAGCTTGTACGTTGGGCCAACAAAGCCCCATTTTCAAGTATCGATGAGGACCGGGACCGGAGTTGGCAAGAACGCTTTATCCGAGTGAAGACCGCCAACCTGATACCCGCCGAGTGGAGGCCGTTCCCCGAGAATTGGAACGTATCACCTAAGTATATCTCCTTTCGAATGTTGATTTTATGTTTTATCTTCCCTTTTCTCATCGGTGTTTATTACAGTGCAGCCCTTGCTCGAGTTCCAAACTCCATCCCTCGGCTCAAGGAGTGGATCGGTGGCATTTGTTCTCAGATACATTATGCCGAACGCTCATGGCGCGAGCTCTCGAAGGGCCGCTGGGAAGCCCGTTCTCACGGTAAGATCTTTCTCTCCGAATAAGTAGTTCTAGACGTTCTTTTTCAGCACTTATGCCCTCATTGACTCTTTTCTTTTCGCAGGCTTGCCCCTTGGTAGGGGACGAGGACCAGCCCGCTGATCCCTTTGCTTCTGGGGCCCAAAGCCATAACATAAGATAAGAAAAAAAGGAGGACCCCGAGTTCCCCGAGCTCGAAAAAAAGAAACCGAGGAGGAGGCAGGTTCATAGGCCAAAGGAAAGCTCCAGCTCCTAAGTGCCTGACTCTGACTCACTCTTCAGGCTCAAGGACGAGCCTGAGGAGGACGAACTCTTTATGGCCTACGAGTCGTCCGTCCCTGAGGAACGGGTGACAGCCGAGGGGGAAACGATAGAGGCTAATCCCCCTCAAGTTCACTAGGTTGATGCCGAAGTGAGGGCCAAGACCTCTCGAGATGCCGACTCTGCCCCTTCCGGTGTTATAGATATTTTGGGATCGCCTTCATTCACAGAGTCAATGTTCGATGAAGCTTGAACGACGAAGGAGCAATCCAATGAGAGGGTCCGTGGAGCCCCTTCAATGCTTCTTTGATTGTGTAGACTCAACCGCCCTGGAAGATTTCACCGGGTTAGGTGACTTAGAGATGCCGAGGAAAAGTCCATCCTCGGAGGTTGGCGGGCCGAACTCGAGCCCGGGGTTGATCAACCAGTTCCCCACTCCGAGCACGGATCCTGGCTGGAAGAGATCAGTCGTTATCACCATCCTGGAGGATGCACGGGTTCTTTCCGCCCCTGTTGGGGTAGATAGCTACCTCCGGTGCCTGGTGACCGAAGAAGATCAGGCAAAAATGAACGAGGTAGATGCGCCATGCTTGTTCAACGAAGCACAACAAGTGCTGAACCGGGTAAGGTGTTACCAAACTCTTTTATTTTTCAAATTCAGTTCTTGATGATTCTGATGCCTCTTCTCATATTTGCAGGCCTCAGTGCTCCACCATGAAACCTTCCTCCAGTACCGGGATGAGCTGAGCCAACTTGAGGCCGAGGTAAAAGAGTTTGCTGAGAAGAGGGACATGTATAAGCTTCTCAGCGAGCAACATGAAAGAGAAGTCAAGAACCTTCGAGCCGAGTTGGACGCGGCTCAGAAAGAACACGCTGACCTAGTGGAACAGACTAGGTAAGCCTAACACACATTGAGAATTTAGCAAAAATAACGACTAAGATATTAAATTAAACTGATAAATATCATAATAAAATCAAAACGGAACAACAGACATATAATCCCCAAAATTGATGGTACAAAGTCCTAAGCTCTAATGAAGTACAATGGGAGTGTAGCAACCCCTTAGGAGGATGCCACTTATAAATACTAATGTAATATTTATAAATTTAAACATTCTTTTAATAAAATAAACTAGAAAAAAGAGAGAAAAAAATTTGCCCACGAATAAACTTCAACATACGACATCTCAACTTAGAAAAATCTCATAAAAATCTCTTTAAAATTTCAAGATACAACTATTAAAAAAAAAGAAAAAACAAACGGCAACACCTATTTAAGTTAAATTAATACTTTAAAATTTATCAAATACCTAGTAATAGAATATCTTTTTCATACACCATTCATGAATCAAACTAAGCATAAAGTTCAACTCTCAATCAAATAAAAGCTAGTTAAATCTTCAAAAACAATCTCCCAAGTTCAATTCATGTACCAAATTTAATAAATTATAAGACTTGGGTATAAACACCCACAAAATAGTCAAATCATTCACCAAGATTAAGTTACCAAAATAATAGTGTCATGACCCAATAATCATTCAAGAGTGCATATCTAAGTATATCATATAGATCATGTACAAGTCTCCAAAAGTCTACAAACAAAAAATTACATATGCCTATGCAAGCGTGATCTTCATCTAATCTTCCAAAGAGTCTACTTCAAATGATATCCTCAAGCATCTCCCGGCACATCACCTACGATAACAAACTATCGCTAAGCATAAAACTTAGTGTCACATAAACTTAACTAACATTTTATAATAAAAGAAAGCTAAACTATGAAATGAATACAAGGAATAAATTCTAGATATGAGCTTATTAAAATCAACATCAGGTACTTAATGAAGGTACAATCATCTCAACAGGGCTAAATATCAAATCATAAAATAGTTCAATATACCATTATTCAAAATCTCAAATGTCAAGAAAATTTTCAACTATAATCGAAGAAAGTTCACTGATTAGTTGATTCGCCCAACACAAGGGTCATGCAATTATATCAAAACATAATCAAGTAACAAGAAGGACCGGAGTCCTAGATCAAGCAGGGTCGTCACCCAATTATCAAGAGAATCAAGAGCCATATTAAAAGTGGCTTTCCCATCAATACTCAAAATGGATAAAGTCCATGATTAAGATGGAGTGTGAATCCAAAGTCAAGATGGGTCAAGTTTGAGTGTGAATCCAAAGTCAAGATGGGTCAAGTTTATGTGCAAACCGTGGAGCTTTAGTGTTTCTAAAGCTCAAACGACATCAAGGTATTTAATATCTTCTAAGCCAAGAAAAGAGCGATTTTCCTAAGGTGTGCTCCTTAGCGTGAATGAATGTCACTTGTACCTTAAAAACGTAATCAACACTCACTTAAGGTCTAAAATTCAAAGATGTTTAAACCAAATCATAATGAATATCAAAAAGGGGGACTAAGTGGGT